ATTGAAGGTTCAAAAAATAGAAGTCAAAATCAACAAATTTTAACATTATTTTTCAGATTTTGTAGCTTCTTTTATAGTTTAAGATGCGTAGATGTCTAACCTACCATTTGTTGTCCCTTCCTTTCTCATTTGAATTATTCCATAATTTTGTTTAGCTGAGATGTGACTATTATTTTGCGTAACAGGTGATTGAACAAAGGATTTTGTCACGTCCAAATTGACAAGATGATGATCTTCTTCTTTTTTTAAGAACAGAAATTAAAGATGATCTTTAAATCATGGTCCTGTCAGAGATAAAGGGTTTTTTTATTTAAAAAAAGCGAAAAAAATCTTAAAACTCCAGTTTTCGTGCATGATCTGATCAAGAACCCAATTATTGACTCACCTTGTAGGGTTTTCTGACAAATTGTCCATTAGGAGAAGGGAAGGTAATTGATCTCTCACTGCAGAAGGCAACCTTTTCAGTGGAGATAAAAAGAAGTCCTGCAAGAGGACCAGCTGTGGTTGATAAATAGCACTGTGATGCCTTTAATAGCTCTTCTCCTTCTCTGACCCCAAAAACCTGCTTGAAAATATTCTCCCTCCCTCCTTCTTGAATTATCTTTGCCCCCAGTCTCAGCTTGCCTTTCACTGTTCCAGAGAAGGTAGCCCCCAATTTCACTGCAAATTACATTATCTCACATGATTAAAAAAAAAGGTGCATAAATGATTTTACTTCATAGTTTCGTCGGAGTCATAGTAAGACTGTTACCGTGGTCGCGAATCCTGTAAGCAAAAGTACTGCTTTTCCTTCCTAGTTTTTTCGTTTTTCCTGGCTGTGAATCCCATTTATTACCTGCAGTACTTGATGAATAAGCTATCAGCATCAATATATGCTAGGCACACATATTTAGAGGCAGAGGAAGACAGGGTCACTGTGACTTACTACTAGTTTTGGAGGAGCTTGGAGAACCCTGAGAGGAATATGGACTTTGCAGCAAGCTGACAGGCTCAGATAAAGAAGATGATCTTTCTGGGGTTGTCTCAAAAGTTTTAATGATCATCAATGGACTTCCATTGAACTCGTCTGCAAACTGACCCTTCATGCTCATAGTTTTTGTCCAACACGCACAGAGAGTAGTCCTCAAAGGAAAACCTGATAGCTTAGCCTATGAATTTGCCTGATGAAGAGATAAAAAGGAGGTGTATATTGCTACTTAAATCATATAATATTCTCTGTGGTCTTTTTCCACAAGAGAAACAGATATGTGAGTGAAATTTCAAAGATTCTTCGATGTCATGTGTGAAGAATTGAATGGAAGGGAAGACTACTAGAAGAAAATGATGTTGCGATTTCCAGGCAATTTCCTTGGCTAAGAATGTGGGAATACATATATATATATATATATATAGAGAGAGAGAGAGAGACACACACACACACACACTTCATTCTTCCTTACACGCGGCAAGGAATTTCAAGTCAATAAAGGTGGCCAAATCGAATACTTGCAAAGTTGATATAAAATAATGTGATATTTTAAATAATGAAATTAAGAATTTATGGTGTTGGAGTAGTTGAGATGGGAAATTTTTATTTATTTAAAGAGCATGACAAAGGAATTTAAGGAAATGATCAAAGGTCTTCAATAGTAGGATCATATCAAACAAAGGATCAGTCAACCAACAAGCGTATTCATGGCAACATTGAAGCAAGCGAAGGCCGAAAGGCAGCACAAATCTGAGGCTGAAGCCAGAAGCCGAATAGGAAGGATTTTGAGGATGGCACCGTCACCAGCAAACCCTGAGCAGCAGGCGATTTTCACTATTAGTCATTCAGTCCGGCAGGCCGACCCCCAAGTCATAGACAGCACAAATAGGCGGCTTTGAAGCCTAAGGTCTTTGACCGTGGAATTTTATGTCACACGTGATCGGGACAAGTATAAACAGAAATGACTTTTCGGGCACTGTATTTTAAAGGTATTTTAAAATTTAAAATTTTATTTATTTATTTTTAATGATTTTTAATTATTTTGATATATTGATATTAAAAATAATTTTTAAAAAATAAAAAAAATATTATTGATATACTTTTTTAAATAAAAATCACTCTAAAAAATAAACATAACTACACCTACAAACATACTAATCAACTTTTTTATTTTTTTATTCTTGATTCCAGCATTTCATAAAAAAAATAAAAAAGTTCTGAATAGAGCAGTATTTTTAAAGAATATCAATATCTAATTAAATAAACTAATAATCATTTATATAAATAAATGAATGAATAAATTATTAACAATAACAAAAGAAGAAATTTATAAAATATTAACAATAACAAAAGAAGAAATTTATCCTATATGAGTAGAGTAGTCTTCCAGCCTTCCTTTTCTCTATGCGGGCGCTATATGCTGTATCCATCTAATGAGGTAGACGTTTGAGAAATGCCCGCGACTGGGATGGGAAGGTTGCGGCAGAAGCAAGAAATCAACCAGCTGCGAAGTCACGACCGAAACATAAACAGTAGGTCGGTGGTTCTGAGAATCCTTGCGGGAAGAGGCAGAATCCTTGTGGCGGGAGGAGAGGCTGAAGAAGGAAGCATCCTCCAAGGAAAAGGAGAAGGAAGTTCCAAAAATAAGAAGGCTAAGATGTGGCAGAAACACCATTAAAGTCTAGTAGAAACCCGCAGAATTCTAAGTTCTGATTCAAGGAATTTTGAGTTATGACTGAGTTCTGAGTTGACGCGAGAATAAATTAGTTAATTTTCAGGAATTATAACTGTTATAGAGTAATAAGAGACGCCATTATGAACCTTTCCAATCCTCCCTCTTCCATTCTTGTTCTTGCTTGCAATTTCCGCCACCATGAGAATTTCATCACTAAAAAGGCCGAATACATAGTGCAAGGGTTCAAAGCCTGTAAATAACAAAGGGCCCATAAAGAAGCATAAGCCCAAAAAATCTGTAACTAAGCCCATTGCAAAGGAGACTGGTTTGAAAAATTCAAAAAGTACCAGTCAAGCAAATTAACTTCCAATAGACAGTGTAGCACATGCACTAAAAGTGAACTGCAGATTTACATGTCAGAAAAATTTTGTCTGCAACCGGGCCCCTTTTTTATGAGCACACCTGTGTAACCTTCGAAGGTCAAACTTCAAGACCCCCGGAGGTGGGCTCAGGTGGCTAAGAGAATTGGGTTGGATGGGCCTGAGGACTAGGCCTAGACCAGCCCATCCTCAACAGCTCCTATCTTCCTTTCGGGCTGCATCATCTAACTTAGTTGTACGGTATGGGCTTAGTCCAGCCGGGTCAATGGCTCAGACAAGTGACCAAGCTGGCCATAACAGCAGAAATGCATGAATTATTGACGCATGGTTGCAATGGTAATAGAGTAATTAATGAAAATTACAAGCAGGAAGAAAGACGACTTCAGCACTGTTTGTTTTTGTATTTAAAAAAATAAAATTTTTATTTATTTCAAATTAATATTTTGTTTATTTTATCAAATTATTTTGATGAACTAAAGTTAAAAAATATTTTTTAAAATAAAAAATATTATTTTAATATATTTTTAAATAAAAAATATCTTAAAAAACAACTATAATTACACTTTTAAACACTCCGACCAGTAAGCTGCTACTGAAGGCAAAGCTGAGGGCGTTCCGAAGGAATGCAAAAGTTTTCTCTTTTGGTTTTCCTTTGTGTCTTCGTCCCTCTGTTTTTGTTTTTGTTGTGATTTCTTCTTGGAAAGGTGTGATATTGGAGTATTTATGATGAGAAAACAGAACCACTTGATAATGCAAGTAAGATGACGTTTGATTACTGTTTCATATAACAGTAAGATGACGTTTGATTACTGTTTCATGACTAAAATGACAAAAAAAAAAAACACAGACAAAAATAATAGGATAAAAAAGCATGTTATCTTTTGGTCCTGTTCAGTTGACCTATAAGGATGGAAAACAAAATACAGTGTTTAATGACTTTTTCCCACCTGGAAAGTTCAACACGCTTTTTCGTGGAATTTTTCTACAATTTTATAGGCTGCTATGCCCTGTTGTAAGCTCTATTGATCGACAACATGTTAACCAATCTTTCCCTTTGAAAATGACAAAGAATCCTTTATCTTGCAATGTTTAGTGTTTACAACAGTGTCACGTATGAAGCTCAGTGTCTTCACCTCTGTGTAGTTTGGGACTCCGTCTATGCAGAAGTGGGCAAGCGTAGGAAAGGGTTTCAGATATGTAGTTCAATTGTGAGAATTAATGAAGGTGATTAGCAGCTCTACTTTCACTCTCTGATCGAAGATGCTATTGGGTATTTTGACGCTTTTTTGCTGTAAATATGGCAGCATTGTTCGATGAAAGCAAACAAAATCAAGAAAAAACTGTCATTTTCAAAGGAAATGCCGTGCCAAATTGCCAACAGAGCTTCCCTTTTCCAGTCTAAAACCAGCAGTTGTTCAGACTTGGAAAAACACACACATGATTTCAAGTTTCTATTTCCCTGTTTTCCCGGAGGAATTAAACATGCTTTTTCTTCTTTTTTTTTTTGGGGGGGGGGTACTCCATTTAAATTTCTAAAGTATTCCTAATCGAGGGTGAAACTATGAATCTTGGTTAAGGAGGATAAAAATTAAAGCATTATTTAACTTGCCATCGATCATCAACTCATTCCTACCAGATGTAAATTTCTAAAGGGGCAAAAGAAAGAGCCTCGTCTCTTATGAGATTCCAACAAGATCAATCATAAATGTTAGCAAATGAATCTAAACCCAAAAGATTTAGCTTTCTTGGAACACAGTTTCTTCAAGAAAGTATATGTTAGCAAATGAATCTAAACCCAAAAGATTTAGCTTTCTTGGAACACAGTTTCTTCAAGAAAGTATATGTTAGCAAATGAATCTAAACCCAAAAGATTTAGCTTTCTTGGAACACAGTTTCTTCAAGAAAGTATATCATAGTAAAACATAACACGGTAGTACAGCATGCCTGCTTACTATGTCTTCTGGTAAAATTATCCTTAATTTCTGCTATCCCCTTTAAATCTTCCTTAGAAAAGGGAAAAGGGCTCGAAATCCCTTAATAATAGCTCATTTTTTACATTTTTTTTATCATACATTGAAAGAGAACTTCTCTTTATTTGCTCTAAACTATAGAAGCTAGTGCATAAAAAGTGGACTACACACAGTCAAAGCATAAGAATTTCGTCTAACAACCGAGCCTTTTCTTTTGGCCTCAGCTCAATCAGCACAATACCTGTCTAATTTCGAGATCAGCTTCGTTTTGCTTGGCAACTTTGCCATAGAATTGCTTCCTTTAAGTTCTGACGAGCTTTGTCGTAACGCAGAAAGTCCATAAACAAGAATTCAGAACCATCTTCTGTGGTTATGGTCATTTTCTTCTGTTGTGACTCGTTCAGGTCGACCCCTCTAATGTTCCTTATTGGTATCTCAATCTGCTCATGTGTATCCAATTTCAACGAGTCAAGCCTCTTTTGTGTACAAGAACAACAACGCAAATTACTACAATTCAATTAACAGAAACACGAGGAATCCCTTTATTTTCTTTATGCGTTGGTGTCAAGATTGTAGCCAGTACTTTGAGTAATTATGATCCTGCAGAAATCATTTTAATTTTTTATAAAAAAAGGAAGAAATTGAAGAGTGATCACAAACCCTGTTTATCCTCCAATATTTTAGTGTGTTAATTAATTCTTTTTAAAACCACAGCTTAGAGTTAATTCACGAAATTGAGACAAGGAAAATATATTAAAGAGGAGGTATTTATTCACCTTTCGATCTGTTTCTTCGAGCAGCTCATCTGGAGATTTGAAGGTAACTGATCTCTGACTGCAGAATGCAACCTTCTCAGTGGAAATAAAGAGAAGTCCGGCAACAGGACCAGCTTCAGTTGATAAACAGCAATGCGATGCCTTTAATAGCTTTTCCCCTTCTCTGACCTCAAATTTCTGCTTGAAAATATTCTTCTTCCCACCTTCTTTAATTTTCTTTGCCTCAAATTTTATTGAGTCTGAGAGACCAACCGACCTCACTGAAATAAACATATGATCAATCATATTTTTCTCTGAAGAAGAAGCTCATGATCATTTATTTATTCACTCATAATGAAAGAAAAGAGGAGAAAAGAGTGCTGCTTATGATAGAAGGAACGTTTGTTAATTACCACGGTCACGAATTATATTTGCAAATGTCCTGCTTCCCCCAGTTGTATCCACTTCATCACCTGCACCAGCACGTCAATGAATTAAAGCTGTCAACATAGAACTAATTTAGACTTAGAAATTCTAATTTATGATCTGTGAAGAAGTTGGAGAAGAACCATGATGATCAGTGGAAGAGGGTGTTCCTGAGGGCTCAAAACATGGACGAGAAATGAACTTGGAAAGATGCATTTTGTCAAGCAGCACAAAACATGTAAGTGCTCAGATCAGAAGAAGCTGAGAAGTTTTGGCTAAACTTTTACTGTTCTTCTGTCTTTATGCAAGAAAGTGCTTAGATCAGAAGAAGCTGAGAAGTTTTGGCTAAACTTTTACTTTTCTTCCGTCTTGATGCAAGAGGGCGAGGTTAATGATTTTCTTCCAGCAGTCCACCTTTGAATATAATGATTAATTAATTTCCAAGCAGTTTCATTGCTCGTTCGATGATGAGTCACGATTTTCACACACAAACTTTGAAAAATTCAAAGATAATTATTACACTGTTTCTGGACGAACAATACTAATAAAGAAGTATTTAGTTTTCTTTAATTTTTATACTTACATTTACTTCTTGATCCATCAAAATTCTGAAGAACACAGTACTGGAGTCCTTGAGATGGAGGAAATTATTTATACAACAAATTATTGGAGTCTTTAATATATATATATATATTGTGACCATATATATATAGAGGTCTCGTTCAATTGAAAGCAAATGCAAAATAAATAAATAAAATATTATTTTCTTAACTTAAGAGAATGGGAATCAATAATATAATATACAGTGTTATATAATTAATAAATGCCTTATTTGCAAACTAGTTTAGATAATTAATAATCGATTTGTGAATATTGACCTGTTCCTGAGTTGTGACTGGTGCAAATTAGGGTTCAAGTGCGCCTGTTGAGAAGTTTTCAAGGCTCGAATCGGTAGCTAAATCCCTAGTTATGCACACAGCGACATGCCTATTTCTCTTCAAATTCACTTGGTACACAAGGCAGGCTCGCTGGCCTGTACAAGGCATCCAATGCATTGAAGATTTTAGGTATGTAATAAAAATTAGATTGTGGATTGAGAAGATCAACTTGCATCGATATAATTTTTTTTTTAAAATAATTATCTGACATATTGCTTTTTTTTCTTTCTAGGTTCCAGTACCATTTCAGCCTTTGTTTTTTTGCTATTTCCTAGTTTTGTTTTTGCGCATTTTGGACAGCAAATTGGACCACATACGTACCCCTGCAGGACCCCCTCAATGTTGTCCCGCATTAAGACTTGAGCTTTAAAAAGTGTTTTTATTTTTTATTTTTTATTTTAAATTAATAATTTTTTTAGTGGTTTTAAATTATATTAATACACTATATTAAAAATAAATTTTAAAAAATAAAAAAAATAATATTTTAATATATTTTTAAATAACAAATAATAAAAAAAAAAAAAACGCTTGCACGTGAACTTTTGACATGCACTGTTTAACTGCGCTGCGGCCAGGAGGGGGTTTTGTCGATGAGGGTGTGGTTCGTACTGCATCGTACTGGTGATAAAATTGCCATGTAACTATTTATATCTTGTGTAGTCTTTGGTTAATTATAGAAATAAAGGAAACAAGACAGAAAAGAATACCACCACATAATTGTATTTGATGATACAATACAAGGAAAAATGATTACTTTTATACTGTAGTATTTAATTATGATCGACAAAACATTAAACAAATTATTTTATTCTTAATATATATTATTAATAAACTTACATATTTAAACAAATAATTAAATATTATTTTTTTATGAGTATTGAAATTAATAATATTATAATAATTATAGTTATAAAAATTAGATTAGCCTAGAAGGTTGATTCGAAGCCTAGATCAGTCTGATTTTTAAAAAATAGAGAAAAAATTGATTTGATCTAATCTGATAAAAAACCTGAGTTAACCTATAACTCGGTTAATATGAAATAAAATACGGGTCAAAAACTTATTGATATTTATTTTGAACTTATTTTTATCAAAATAAAGTTGTTTTTATTTTTTTTAAATTGAATTAACTCATGTTGATCCTTTTTATCTATGATCTAATTTTATTCTGAATCGATTCCTAAATTAAATTTTAAAATTATAATAATTATAATTTTATATAAAGTCAAATCAATTATTTTGATTCTTTTAACTAATAATACAGGTTTTATTTTAATTTTTAATTAGATTTTAAAATTATAATAATAATTACTTTAATTTTTAATTAGATTCTAAAATTATAATAATAATTAATTTTATCATATTATAATTAGAAGAGCTCCCAACATCACTCCTAAATTCCAATAATCATCGTCTCTTTATGTTTTTTATTATTAAAAGTTTAATTCTCTTTATGAGAACCCATATTTGGTTAAAAGTTTAATAAGAGAACAGCCCCTCATACGGTTGGCTAAATTCTTTATAAATTAGTAGTCTCTGTTCATGAGACAGGTTTACTTCTTAAAAAGCAACAGCACTTGCTCGTGAAGTCTTGTCGTCATTTTACAAAGTAAGGATTTGTCCCTGGTCGAATACATTCACCACAGTACTGCTAGTATAGTCTTATGCTTTAAGAAAAATTTTATCCGTAGAAAATAATGTTCAGCGATACTAAAAAACGATGAATAAGCGAGTAATCAATAAGGAAAAAAAATATTAATTGGAGAAGTTTTATAATAAGCACTCCTAATTTCTAATGACCACTCTGCCTCATGTTTAGAGATTTACCATATATTATTATATAAGGAAAATTTTATTTATATATATATATAATAAAATTTTTTATATGTATATTAATAATAAAATTTTAGTTTTTTATTTTTTAATATATTTTAAAAAAAATATTATATAAAATACTGATAAAATTACCGATGCAATGTTAATCATACATGGGATAATTGATAGCCTAAGTCCATTGAAAAGTTCAAAAAAATTAAAAAAAAATTGCAAGACTTTTTCATTGATAATTGCAAAAAAAAATTATCGACAGATTAAATTTATTGAAAATTTTTAGATGATTGGAAAAAAAATTAAAGGAATTGCCGCTAAATATGAATGATTGTTGAATTAATTTTGTTTGTAATATAAATTTAATTATAAATAAAATCACCAACAATTTATTCTGTTGATGATTTGCCATCATTTTCAATAGAATTATCAATAAAATAATAATAAAATAATGTTAGTAATTTTTTTATTTGTTATGTTTTTTTCTATTTATAAATTTATCAGTAATTATATTATTAATAGAATAATTATTATAATAAAAATCACCAATGATAAGTTTTCAAACTATCATTTACTGTAATTCCACTTGTAAATTGTTTTTCGATAAAATTAATGTTTATATACTGAAGGAATAATCTCTTGGTATCATGCAAAGTTGTGTTCTCTCTCTATTCTCAAGTGGATTACTTAACACATTGCCCTTCATGTAATCTTCTCACATCACTGCCATTGATGATTAAACAAGTTTCATGATTTAAAACACTTCATCCTTTGCAATTGAAAACAACAATAATATTCCAAAGCATAGTATGTGCATAACTTCTCCTTCTCATATACTCACATGTGAATACTTGTTATAGCAAAGTTATCTATTTTAAGCATGCCTTTTGTAATTAAAATAAAACGCTATTGCAGGAGAGGAAGTGAGGATAGGGAAAACATGGTTGAGTAAAGATAAGAAGAGGCCATGATCGAGGAAGGATCTCTTGTTAAATGATATCATACATCCCTTCATCGTTTGTTTATTTTGGAATATTGTTGCATGCAAGAAAGTTCAAAAACTAATTTTTTTTTTATTTGGTTTAATTTTGTGTTTGTTGATTAATTTATGGATGCTTTGAGGTTATGATTGATTAATTTAGTTTAATAAGGTGTTTAATAGATATTTATAGGTTAAAATGGATACAAAATGGTTTTTTAGATCCCAAAGCACGCCTCCGGCTGTCGGAATCTAGATTAGCAAAGGAGACAGCGTGTGGCACTACAAACAAGATGTTATCTATTTTGTTTATTTAATTTCTTTTTGAAAAAAATAAAAGAATAAAAAAAAAAAGAGGGCCAGACATGTCTGCCTGATTTTTTAAGAAATTTGGTTTTTTAAGGAATGATCCAACAAGGTCGACCACCAGATACTCATTTAATTTATCATTATTACTATTTTACGTGAAAAAGGGACCCTATATATAGAGATACAGAGAAAGCGTGAAAACAAACAACAAAAACAAAGGGCATTATACATAGAATCACAACCAGATTGATCATGGCTTTCAAAGCAGGTAAGATGGTCTTTTGCATCCTCTTCTTTGTGATTATGGCGAGCACTGTGGAAATTTGCAGTGCAAGGCATGTTCCTGCAACAATTACTGGTGATATTACCTCAGGTCATCGATTCGCTTTTAGAAGGCTCATCGTCCCTGTTTGCTGTAGATACAATCCTGATTGCTGCCAAGCCAGCACGAAAACCACTGCTCATCCTTGAGCACGCAAGCAGTTTGCTAGTTGCACTTATGGTGTCAAAATAAATGCTACAACATAAGAGAGGTCCATATAAACTGTTCTTGTTACAAGAGATCTCACATGGTTTTTATCTTCCTCTTTATGGAATAAATAATTATAATGATAATCAAACTCCCTTCTTGCAGATCATATTTAACTAAATATCTCAACCCTTTTGTTCTGCTTTAATATTGGCAGAAAGTAAGCGTGTGTGTGTGTGTGTGTGAGAGAGAGAGAGAGAGAGAGACTCTTTCAATTTCGAGATTTTCCAGCCATTGATATACTGTTGCTTGGACTATGGTTCAAATCGTATTTTTCAGATCTAAACATGGGCTTTGGTGACTGAAAGGCTGGAATTCCTGGTGTCTCACCGTTAAATTCTGTATTCAGTTCACTCAGATTCATGGACCTGCTCCTTTTTCTACAAAATTCTCAAGTCTATTCGAGGTTACTTGGCAAAACAAATGGTTCCACTTTGATGATTTCCTCTGTTTCAATGTTAATATTTGTAAGAATTCGTCTTCATCGATTACTCATCTATCTTCAGATTAAGAATCTGTAGATAGAATGAACAGGTAATTACTTGTCGTATGCTATCTCCACGCTGAAATACAACATACATTTTTGAACATATTGCCACAAAGTTTCATATGTTGAGATGTAATGTAATTGTGTAAAGCATGAACCAAGCAAAGCTTTACTGGCTCTGCATTAAAGAAGAGAACCGAGAGGCCCAAGACGGCCAATAAGTTGCACCAAATCTATGCTGCGTTTCAGAGGGTTGTAAAATCTAGTGTTTTCTAGCCCTTCTATCTATCAGCATTTATGCAGATCCCAGCATATTTTTGGTTGAAACCTTTCTGCTACATTTCTGATCTTCCAC